TGAGGGAAACAGAGAGAGAGAGAGAGAGAGAGAGAGTGCCTGATTTTGATACGCAGGGAAAGTGCAATGATGCACACGGCGGTGACATACCCATCCAAGTTTCGACCCGCAAAAGGCTACGCCAAACAAACCCCTTGAGCTGCTGCCAGTTAAGCAACCAACGTGTCATCATCATTTCACAATTTCCATTTTGTAAAAATAAATCTATTTGCTGGTGGCTCACCGGAAAACCCGTTCTGCTTTGGCAAGGATTTACTTTCTCATGTTTCCTTACTTCCTCTCTCCTCCCAACAGCTGCCTCGTGTGTGCCGTTCTGTGTGACCCCCCCCCTCCCCAAACCTTTACAGTGGGGAGGGGGAAGGTGTCCTCGACTTATGGCCACAGCTGGGAGTAGAATTTCCATGGCCGAGCCAGGATAAGCGAGTCGGGCCTGATTTTGCGAACCTTTTTCACCAGGGTTGTTGAGAAAATCACTTTGGTTGTTAAGTGAATCAGGGGGTGGTTAAGCGAATCAGGCTTCCCCACACACCCCTATTCCGACTTTGCTTGTCAGAGGCTTGGCTGGGAAGATTAGAAAGGATGACCGGAGGACTGTGCCACTGTTGTAAATAAATGGCGGTGGCCAAGCACCTAAATTTTGATCCCATAAAACTATGGAGATGCTGTGATGGTTGTAAGTATGAGGGCTGGTTGCAAGTCAATTTTCAACGCCATTGTAACTTTGAAACATTTGCTAAATGAATGGGTGCGAGTCGAGGACTAAATTCCAGCCACAGAAAGGATTTCAACTGGCAGCATCCATTACATCATTTAGTGACCATTCAAAGATACAACAGCACTTTGACTATTTTTTGCAGCACCCCTGTGGTCACATGATCAAAATTCAGAGGGTCAACTTGGCAACTGACTCGTATTTACGACTGTTACAGTGTCCTGGGGGCCTTGTGATCCCCTTGTCTATGGGGAAGCTAATTTCACTTAACAACCCTGTTACTCGCTTAACAACTGCAGTGATTCCCTTAACAAACGGGGCGAGGAAGGTCATAAAATGTGGCAAAACTCCCTTCACGACCGGGAGTCCTCAACTTACGGCTGCAACAGAGCCCAAAATTCATGTTCAGTGAGAAATTTGCTACGCGAGTTTTACGATTATTATTATTTTGCCGCATTCGTTAAGCAAATCACTGCAGTCGTTAAAATTAGCAACGTGGTCATTAAGTGAATTGGACTTTCCATTGACTTTGCTTGTCAGAAAGTCGCAAAAGGGGAATCGCTTGACCCCGGGACGCTGCTGCGACCGTCATAAATGTGAGTCCACTGTCGTCAAACCTCCGAACGTAAATCATGTGACCCCGAGGCCGCTATACAATGGTCATAAAGTGTGAAAAATGGTCGTACGTCCCTTTGGTCAGTGCCGTCGTAACTCTGGTCACTAAACAAACTGTTGCCGTAAGTCGAGGACTTACCTGTGTTTTGCTTCGCGACAAACAATTTAAGGGCTTAATTGTCGCCGTCAATAAAGGACTACCTGTACCTGTAGGCTTAACTAACGTCGCGCTTCCCAACAGACGTTCCTGCCTCAGTTGGGGTCCATTTAAGGCGAGGACGGCTTGTTAAACGATGCGAACGAAACAACCGGCGCCCCAAAGGGAAACACACACGGAACAAGGCGGCAACTCCGCGCGGGGTTCGCCTGCTTCGGCCACTCACCAGAGGAGGACCATGCTCCCCTCGCTGCTTTCTCATGGGCTGGGTCCCCCCCCACACCGGGCCCATGTGCCGTCTCGGGCCACGAGGCGTGGCTGGTGGGGGGGTACGGCTACTCTCCCGCCATGGTGCGGACGCCGACTCTGTAAAGAAAAGAAGAACGAAAGCGTTTAAGGGCAGTGGTAGGGTCCCACCGGTACAACAACCGGTTCAGTGAGCGCGCGACCTGGGCAGGATGGGGCGAACTAATCGCTGGAACTACCGGTTCGGTTGAACTGGTCTGAACCGGCTGAATCCCACCCACCCACCCCCCGATTAGCCCGTGTCTCCCCTCCATCCCAGCCTAATTTTCACTCCCCCAAGGCGAACCGCTTATTTGTGTTCACCCCTCTCCCTCCCGGAAAAGACAGCCGGGTCCATCTGTTCCCCGTCACGCGTGTGGCGCGCCACATTCCTCGCCAACCTGCACCGCCGAAATTGGCCACGCTGCTGATTTGCAAAATAGTGACATCCCCCTCAAAAACACACGCACGCACGCGCGCACACACCTAAAAGTCAATCTTTCTGCTGAAAAGAGACCCCCCCCCAAAACCCCAGGAGGGGAAGGTAAGAGTGAGGGTCTTGTGGCATGGTAGCGTTATAAGTAGTCCTCGATATACAACCACCATCGAGCACCATTTTCTGTCGCTAAGCGAAACATTTATTCCATTAATTTGGCCCCGTTTGGCTATTTTCTTTGTCACGGCCGGTAAGCGAATCACGTCAGTTGTTAATGACATGGTTGTTAAGTGAATCTGGTTTCCGCCATTCACTTTCTTTGCCAGAAGATCATAAAAGAGGATCGCGAACGTCATAAATAGGAATCGTTTGCCAAGCATCCGAATTTTGATCGCTTGACCCCGGAGTTGCTGCAACGTCGTCCAGCGTGAAAAATGGCCGTAAGTCCCTTTTATCCGTGCCGTTTGTCACTTCAAACAGTTACTGAATGAACGATTGTGGTAAGTTGAGAATGGCTGGTAGTAAATGTTGTGGTAAAACCTTGGATCCGAGTGGGAGGAGGAGGAGGAGGAAGGTTCCTGCAAGGGACCCCCGGAAGAATCACAGCATGTGGACGACTGGAGACTTGGCTCATTTCTACAAGTAGTCCTTGCCTTACAACCGTTCCGTTTAGTAACCGTCCAAAATGACAATGGCGCTGAAGACCGTTTTCACACTTAGGCCCGTTGCAGTGTGACCCAAGTTCAGAGTCTCGGCCGCTGTCATATTTATGATGGTTGCAGCGTCCCGGGGTCACGCCATCCCCTTTTGCGAGCTTCGGTTAAGCCACAGGGAGGTCAGATTCATTTAACAACCGTGGCGGGTCATAAAGCCGGGGCCAAACTCAACAACCCATGTCACGTAGTAGTGATGGGCTGTTTTTGTTTCGACTGTGGTTGTACGTCGAGCGGTACCTTATACCGAAACGGTTGGTCCCCTTGTTCTGCTGAACGGCGGCTGGAGTAGAACAGCGGAAGACATGCCCCCCACAATCCAGCCAGGAGGAGGACCCCGTAAATTACACCTGGGCCAGATCGTCAGAGTAAAAAGGGCAGGACGCAGGATATTCAGCCTCTTTTGACGTGGTTCCCCTGTGGGCAACACCTGCCCGCTAACCCACACAACCACAAGCAATCTTGTGACATCTCTTGTCCCCTGCCCCAAACCTGCATTAGTCACAAAGTCTCACAACATGACCGGGTGGGTGTGTGCGCGCGCGGGGTGAGATTACACAACGCCGGGCCCAGCCCGATGGCAACCAAGCATCAGACTTCAGGACGCAAGTACGATGGCCCGGGGCGGACGCCGGGATGGTGCAACAGATATTTTTTGCCGTTCCTGTATCGCCATGTTCTATACTGCATGCCTTGAGGGATGAGCTTCCCCCGTCGTGTTTCTGCACGTGGTTCGTGACTTAGTCTCAGGTGTGGACCGAGACATAATGGTCACGGTTTGGGAGGGGTCTGCGGGTCAAGCAGTCAAAAGGACAGAATATTTGAAGTGCAGGGTTGAACTGTGGGGATCGGGTCCTTGGTGGTCTCTGAAATGGGTTGTTTCCCTGCAGATGTTTCATGACCCAACGAGGTAACGTCATCAGTACGAGGAGGAGGAAGAGGAGGAGGAGGAAGACAACAACTGTGGGAAGGTTGGTACTCCCTGACCTTAGTGGTTTCTTGCATACATTTCATGACCCAACTAGGTAACAACATCAGTACTAGAAGGGAGGAGGACACCGACGCCGAAGACAACTATTATGGTGGGGTCTTCAGTGTTCCCTGAGTTTGTTTGTTTCTTGCAGACGTTTCCTGACCCAACTAGGTGACATCATCAGTGCTAGAAGGGCGTGCAGTTCGCTTGGGGAGTTTCCAAACTCCACACGCACTAGCGCTGATAATGTTCTCTAGTTGGGTCATGGAAATGTCTGCAAGATGAAACAACTAGGGTCAGGCACCGCCGAGGACCTCAAGTATGTCAAGACGTTGGCCGCCACAATCCATATTATGTTTTGAGGTGCGTCAGACACACAGACTTGGGTAACGCCCTGCCCCCACGTTCCCGTCCTCACCGCTTCGGCCTCAGTTGGTCTCTAAAATGAGACCTTCCGCGGGGAAAACGAGGCACAGCGGATGGCATCTCTGGCCTGGCGAGGATAAAGGCTGCCCTGTTGCCCCCAGACAATGAACACAGCACAGCCTCGTGGCGTAAGCATCCCTGCCGAGCCACCCACGAGGGCAAGGGAGATCCTGTGTCTTTGTGTGTGTGTGTGTGTGTGTCTTTGTGTGTGTGCACGCACGAAACGTGGAGCCCCGCAAGAGCCACAAGAACACACACACACCCTGTGTAAATCCCGACGGAAATCGGCCTGCTGGATTCTCTCCAGGCTGCCCAAGCAGAACTCACCCGCCACGCACTGATGTTTTGCGTGTGCGGGAACCCAGGCCTCAAATATAGGCAAGTCCTTGACTTACAACCACAATGGAAACCACCAAGCGCCTGTTGCTAAGCGAAACCTTCATGAAGTGAATTTTGTCCTGTTTTTAGAAACCTTCCTTGCCACCGTTGTTTAAGTGAATCACTGCAGTTGTTAAAAGTTAGGGAGATGGGTTGTTCAGGGCGTCTGGCTTCGCTTGTCGCAAAAAGGGAAATTGCGTGATCCTGGGACACGATGGCCGTCATAAATACGAGTTGGTTGTCCAACGTTTTTTGATCGTGTGACCACGGGCCTGCTGCCAAGGGCATAAGTGCGAACCACTTTCCCAAGTCGCCTTTTTTTTCATTGTGCCATTGTAAACTTCCAACGGTCAGTAAATGAATTGGTCGTAAGTCAAGCACTTGTTTTTCTTTAAAAAAAATCAAATTGCACGCTCGAGAGTTTGGGATGGATATAATCAAGTAGCCAGCCAGAAGCATCCCACATCCATTGGGGGGAAAAAAAGTTTTAAGACCTTTTAAGAAGAGACCATACGGGGGCTGGGTTAGATGATCTCCAGGGTCCCTTCCAACTCTGATAAACAGACTTGAAATTGTAGAACTGAATCCAATTAAGACACCTCTCTTTTTTTTAAATCAGTGTTTTTAAATCTTGGCCTCCGAACCCTTTGCCAGCTCCCGAAACGCTTCGAAAGGGTGGGGATTTTTTTAATCCCACGAAGCCCCCTACCCTTTTAAGGAAAACCTACCCCGCTTTTTTGGGGGGGGGGAGAGAAAAACTTAACCCTTGTGGGCTCTAGCACTTTCAAATACAATCTTCCTGCCCCCCCCCGCCCCGATAGGGTGGATGGGGAAATGCTCCAGCGCATGGACTCGGCAAATGCGCCAGCTGCCGTCTTTGGCCTCATGATGCAATCTGGCGCAATCGGTTGCATCTCGTGATGTAACCTCTTCCTGCGTCGGCCAAAGCAGCTGGTCGGGCCCAGGGGTCTCGGCGTGGTATTTCGGGACTGGCACCCCCTCCTGAGGATAGCCACCTATTCTGACCCGGATTAATTAGCTTATTAGGTTAATTAGTTTAGCAAGGGAGGGGTATTATCCCTTGCTCGCCACGATGCAAAAAAAAAAGAAAAGAAAAGGTGTTGAGACTCTGGAAAGAGCGCAGAGAAAAGCGACTAAGATGATTCAAGGCTTGGAGACTAAAACCTACAAAGGTTGTAGGAATTGGAGAGGTCTAATCTAGTGAAAAGGGGGTCTAAGGGGGACACGAGAGTAGTTTTTTCAATACTTGAGGGACTGCGGGCTGGACTAGAAGACCTCCAAGGTCCCTTCCAATTCTATTCTGACTGACTGATTGAGAGGCTGCCACAAAGAGGAAGAGGGAACCACCTATTCTCCAAACAAGCACCGGAAGGCAGGACAACAGAATTAGAATAACAGAGTTGGAAGGGGCCTTGTAGGTCATCTAGTCCAACCCCGCACAGGACAAGAAGCAATGGATGGAAACTAACCAACGAGAGAAGCAACCTTGGAATTAAAGAGCAATTTCCTAACAGTTGAGGGCAATTCACCAGTGGAACAGCTTGCCACCAGAAGTTGTGTTGTGGAGGCTTTTAAGAAGAGATTGGACAGCCATTTAGGGCAGAATAGAATTGGAAGGGGCCTTGGAGGTCTTCTAGTCCAACCCGCTGCTCCAACACTGGAGGCTTTTAAGAAGAGATTGGACAGAGATTTGTCTGGAGTGGTGTAGGGTTTCCTACCTAAGCAGTGGGCTGGACTAGAAGATCTCCAGGGTCCCTGTTAGCTCCTTTCGAGGGTATTAGAAGGGCCAGCCAGCTCAGGACTGGTAATCTTGACTTACAATCATTCATTTAGTGACAATTTTCTCACACAAAGGCCGTTGCAGCCCTCTACAGTCACATGATCCAAATTTCGGATGCTCGGCAACTGACTCGTACTTATGACGCTCCCAGCGTCCCAGGGGTCACATGATCCCCTTTTGCGACCT